GGAAAGAGAGACCAATCAAGTGCTTTGACAGCAGAATATGGTAAAAGGGACCTGACAAATCCTCACCCTCTGTTTAGACCACCCCCAGTCCTCTACAAAGATCCCCCCAGGGTCACGCTTCCCTCAGCCACCACCAGCTCCCACTCAGGAACCCGCTCCCAGCCATCTCCCTCTGGACCATCCCTCCCGGCCCCCCTGCGCCTGCCGTCAGGGCAGCCAGAGTCACCTGGAGCCTGTGGCTCCAACATACTTGTTGGACTTGTCTATACCAGGGGTGGGCAAAATACAGCCCATGGGCCAGATCTGGCCTGCCAGGCGATTCCACCCGGCCCACAGCAGGTCCCTTGGCCGTCTGGCCCAGACACGGGGGCAGCCCAGGCCATGGTGCATGCAGCTGGTCCCACCTGGCACAGCCCACCCTGTCCCCCCATGGCTCCTGGGCATTGTAGTCCACAGGGCCAGGCAGACTTGGCTTCCTAACAGCCCGTGTCATGGCCACCCAGGAGCAGGTGCATGCCCTGCCAGCTCACACCCACTGCCAGGGGCTCGGGACAGAGTGGGCAGGGTCTCCGAGGGGACCAGCCCGGGACCCCAATGGGCAGAGCACACTGGGCTGGGCGAATGAGATGGGGCCACAGGCAGGCGGAGAGCGGTGTCAGAGCAGGACAGGTGGAGGAAGCTGGGGCTGGGATCACGGGGTGGTGGCCATACAGGGCAGAGCCACCACCCAGTCTCTGCAAGTCCCCGGGACAGGTGCCGGTTCTGCAGGGAACCTCAGCACAAGGAACTGGTGACCATTGCAGGGACGCGCGGGCAGTGGATTGTGGCTCTGCCCTGGGTCCTGGCCCTGCACTGTCACCACCCCATGATCCCAGCCTTGTCTCCATTTGCCCCGCTCCTGGATGCTGCTCCCCTCCCACCCATGGCCCCATCCCATCCACCCAGCCCAGAGCACCCTGCTGCAGGAGTCCCAGGCCTGCTCCGTTTGACCCCACTGGCAGTGGGTACAGGGCTGACTGGCCAGCTAGGACAAATTGGCATCTCCCTGGGCCAACACCCCCCTTCTGCACCATATGAACAGTGTGACAGGGGGCCAACCCCCACCCCCCTGCCCTCAAGAGCTCACCAAGGCTCCTTAAGTAGCAATCCCATCCAAATAATTGACCACTCCTGGTCTATACGGTTTCTTTGATGATCCCAAAGCTGCTAAGAAATAAGCCCTGCTGACTGTAATGATTTAGGTCCCGCAGTGAATAACAACCACTAGGAGTGAAGAAAAGAACAGACCTTCAATGATGGCACCACGCAGCACAGACCATGCGGCTCCCTCCATCTCCACTTCTCCTTGCTCCCCAGGGACCATGCTCAAGTTCCTCACCTGGCAAGACATGGAATATGCTCATAAATCATGTCTAGTTTTGCGATACACCTCTGGAGCCGACACTGTACTGAAAGGTAAAACACAGAAGTCGATACCTTCTCAATGGCTTATTGGATGTGCATAATTTTGAACTTTCCTCTGTTAACTTCAGCTGCCAGAATCCCAAAGTAGCATCTCATGTACTGAAGAACTGCGCATTCACAAACTGAGCCATTGTCTCTTCTCTAAAATGTTCTCTCTTTAGGACCTTACTGAGGTCCCTCGGATCCAAGCATATCCTCACCTGTCCATTATTCTTCTCTACAATGACTAGGGAGTTCACCCACTCTTGTTGGCTCCTCAATTTTCTGTATTACCTGGGCTTCCTCCATCCTTTTTAGCTCTGCCTTTAGTTTATCATGGAGGGCAAAACGCACCTTTCTGCATGGGTGTATAACTGGGGGGTAGAGGGGCTATTTATCCATCAGCATTGTATGTTCCCCTGGTAAGCAACCAAGGCCTCGAAACACGTCTTGATATCCCAAGATAAAAGGTCCTCATAACCCGAGCCAGAGTGTTGCAATGCAACATTTAACCAAATGGAACTTTTTCCAAGATGCTAGGCTCAAAATAGATGTTACCTCCTTAGGTACTACAATGAATGCAAGATTGTACACCAAACAGACCAGGTTCTTTGGGTGAATCCGATATCTTTTATTAGACCAACTTAAAGACTGTACACCACACTTTTATGTCTGATGTAGGCTAGGCACTTTCCCTTGACTGGCATCTTCCCTCCTGAATAGGCAGTTATGGTTACTTTTGTAGGCCTCAGTTTTGGTTTCCTTTGCAGCCTTTTATAATCTTGCTCTGGTAAAAGGTTCACCTGAGCCCTTGTATCCAGTTTGAATGGAACCGTTATCCCATGCACTTCCAGTGGCAGGATCCAGCCCGGCTCGGTAGCTCTGCTCGATTGTACTGTGTCTATAGAATACTCTCCTTCTGGAGTATCTTCAGCCGTATGCACCTGGACTTTATGGGCCTGCACTTTGCAACATTTGGCAAAATGAGTATTCTGACCACAATTAAAACAGCGCTTTCCTACTGCAGCACATCATTTGGAGCCATGCTGCATTGCACACTGGCTGCATGCTTGCCTGTACTCCATCTGCCCCTTAGTAGCTGGGACGGCCACTATTTGAAGTGGCCTTTTCCATCTGTCTTTACTACTACGTATTACATGGACAACACCCTCAGCTGCAGTCAGCTCTTTGGCCTGAGCCTTCACAGTTTCAGCTGCTCTACAAATCTGTATACTTTTTTTCTAGGGATAGGTCTCCTTCCCGTAGCAGCTTCTCTCTTAATCCATTGTCTATAATGCCCCAAATGATTCTAGCCCTGATCAGAGAATCCATCACATCCCCCAAAACACAGGCCTTGCTGAGCCTTTTTTTTAACTGCGATATCATTTTTTACGTGCATGCAAAAACCAGATGACAGCATAGAGCATTATGTCTTTCAAACGTCTCATTGCGTTTTGGCACACAACCTTCTTCAAATTTATTCAGTATCTCATTTAACTTCACATTCGGGCCTGGAGCTAATGTAAAGTTGTTGTACACCTCAAGCGCTTCTTCTCCTAGCACACGCAGGAAAACGGACGATTTAACTTCATCAGTTTTCTCTTCTGCTCCTATAGCAGTCAAAGAGGACTCAAACCTTTGTCTACATTTTCTCCAATTCTCAGCTCTATTGCCTGACAAGGAACGGCAGGAAGGGGCTTGTAACACACCCAGGGTTAACGGTGCATGAGCTTGTTACACTTCCACCTTGCAGAGAGGGGACTGTCCTCGAAGAGGCCTTTGTTCCTTGCCGAGCGCAGCTTCCAGGCCCTGAATTACCAGCTTTCTGCTGGGATAATGCTGCAGATCCATCCAGTCTTCCCCATTCACCGCTGCTGACACCATGTCCCGCAGTGAACAACAGTGAGGAAAAGAACAGACCTTCAAAGACAGCACCGCACCCAGCTCCGCCAGCACAGACCGTGCAGCCCCCTCCATCTGGATTTCTCTTTACTCCCCAGGGATCATGTTCAAATTCCTCACCTGATAAGACATTCCCTTGTACGGGACTGTCTCTAAAGTCTAACCCTTATCACTACACCCACCGACTGATAAAACACCCACAGTCACCATTTGGCTTTGGGCGAGCTGATGCCAGTCCCTCTCAGAAGCAGGGCTAAGATGGGCATCCTGGTAGCATCCCTGGGCACGCTCCGAACATACAACCATAACATTCAGTGGTCATGTGGATGCAGAGAAGAAATCCCACAACTGCCTCATTCCATTAAAGCCTTGACAATGACCACATTAGGCCTGCGAGAAGTGGCTAGCATTCGCTTCGGATTCGGCCGATTTGGGGGACAGTGATTCAAATCGCCAAATCGAATCACTGTCCTGAATCGATTCAACCGAACCCAATTTGGAGATTCGGCCACTGCCATCTCTCCGAATCAGCCAGGCCTATCCCCACCAGCCCGACAACGGCTGCCCTGCCTGCCTCAGCTCCTGGCACTTGGGGGGGAAAAAAAGAGCCCTGACTCAGCAGGTGCTGCCGGGCGGTGATGGGG